TTTTTCTTTCTCTTTTTAGATTTTACTGCTAACTTGTTCTTTTATTGAGATTTAGAGCTTTCATCTGCTTTTTTATTATGAAATATTTTAAGCACACAGAATTATGTTGAGAGTAATATATTTAAATTATCATCCAACGCCCAACTTTGTGAAATATTAACACTTAAATATACTAGTTCCTACAAATATATGTAATATAATATTGAGTTTAGATTTAAAAATATATATATTGAAATAGTCATAGCTCCCTGTGTCCTCATTCTCTTATTTCTTAGAGGAAAACATATTCTGAATATGGTGCTTAACTTTTCCAGAAATTTTTTTATATGTTTGCTGCTTACATATGAATGTATGTATCCATAAGCAGTATCGTTTGCTTCTTTCAACTTGATATACCTAGTATAATTCCTTTTGCTTTCCTGCACTCCTTGATTCTATTCCTTTAACATTGTTTCTGAGATTTTTCTATGTTGATGCATGTAGCTCTTTTATTTTCCCATTTTAAACTTCTGTATCCATTTAGTGACTATACTTCAATTTATCCGTTCTCCTTTTGTAGAACATATAGATTGTTCTCTTTTTTCTATTATAATTAATCTTACAATAAATGTTTTTTAAAATGTCTATTACTGCACATGTGGAGAGGGTTCTCAAGGGTATATACTTAATTGAGAAAAGCTGGTTCTTGGAGTATGTGCATTTTACACTTCATTGGATATGGCCAAATCCCTGTCCAAGATGTGTTTGTACCAGTATATACACAAATGAAAAGTATATGAGCTTCTGAAACAAACAATAAAGTTATTCGCAGCTTCATCTTCCTAGGCAAGAGTTTCCTGGACTAGCAAATCATGTTAAAGAGGATAAGTTGTGTGGTTATAGATGCTTTTGATTCTCAAATGCTAAACTTTTGTTTCTTTTGTCTTGAGAATCACTCACATGACATTATATATTCAAACAAATACAACTGGAATGTTTTCAATTATTAATCTTCTGTTGTATTTTATTTATAGTAACAGCTTGGACATGATCCACCTAAGAGTGCCCTATATACATTTTTTTCTTTTAAAGATGTTATGTATATATACTACTATAAATTCTTATGTTCGAAGCTTGTCAGAGCCCTCAGAAAACTTGACATTTCTCTATACAACATCCCTACAATTTATTTCATTACAAGGTTGGAGGGGATATCATAATATCTCTTTGTAAATATGAAATATCCTTTATGTGTGTACCAAATTAACAAGAAATATAATTTTCTCTAAAAGAAATTCAAGAAAGGTCTTTATAAAGCAAAAACAAAAACCTCAGCCTCTGCCTTTAAAAAATTATACTCATACAGTACTAAACACATCGATGAGTAGTTTTAAATTTCACTTATAGAATGGTAATTGGAAATCTTAAAAGTAGTTACTTGGAGTAGTAATATTAATTCAGTCTACCGAAGTCTAAATTTAAATCACAGTAAAGCTTAACTGTAATACTTGTATGAATTGGGGAGAGAAACTTATTCTTTTCTCTCATAAGGGAAATTACTGCATACTTACAGTGCAAACTATATCCACTAAAAATTGTCAGGAAATATTTTCTTTGGTTTTGATTTAGTGTGATTCTATGTATAAAATCTGGTTACCATGTTTAGGGTTTGAAAACAAAATTGCACACAAACCAACATTCTGTTAATAACCATAGAACACTAACGTTTGTATTTTATTATAATACAACCAAAATATACATTTAACAACTTTCCGTTATTTTAGATTACAAGACTACATTTCTTTTAAAATAGCAAAACTACAAATTCAAAATAGATTGCTAACCACTTACAATTATTAAGAATTAAATTACACAATTAAGTGACAGATTTTTGCCCTTCACCCCCAAATCACCTATATCAAACTTACCATAAATACTTTATAGGACAAAATATTTAAATGAGAGGTATAAGTCATGTGCATGTTCCTGTCTTTGCATTGTCAATGTGTACAATGTTGGAATTTTAGATCTCAGTTTTTAATCTCACATGCAAATTAAATTATTTAAATACTGTGGTCATTTACTGTGAGAAAAAAATATTTCTTTCTATAAAAACATTTCAAATATCTCTTTTTACTAAACTGTCCATTCCCAGTAAGGCTAATGAGTTCCAACATGTTGTCCAAGACAAATTCTAAAGGGAAGCTATTTCAGTTTTGATTTCCACTTTCATTTATGATATATATGAAATATCATATTTAAATTTAAAATATCAGTGTTTAGTTAATGCTCTTGTCCAATTTAGTATTTCGTAGACATCTGGATGCTACCAAACCATCCTTGAAAATTTAATTTTCAATGTAATGTGGAAAAACAGGCACCAACAACTGTAAACTTACTTTTTAGTCGAGTCTACACAATTCAGCAGAAACAAAAATTAATAGCATATAAAGAACCGAAACAGAGACCGAAGGAAAAATTCAAGAGTAAGACCATTTTGCAGGCAGCATGTTGTAAATAAGCATTATTTAGTCAGCGGATGGATGAGGTATGGTGTGAATTATAATTTTTTCACTACTGTTGTGGCTTTTGCAAATTTCTAAATTTCTCTGTGACAGTTTTCCATTTCTTAAATAATTTGGTTGTTTTCAAAAATGTTTATTCAATAAATGTGAATGTAGTGTTTTGAGCTCTTTGGGGAAGAAACAGTTTATATATAAATTAATTATTTAGACTATCCATTTCTAAACAAACTCTTAAAATTCCCAATAAATTGAATGTAAATGACTGCAAACAGTCAGCATTCCATTTAGCAGCATAAATAGCTGGCATGAAATGCAGATGAGAATATGCAAGTCAGAGCCGTACGTATTCAAAACGGGGGAAAAAATATAAAACCAAGAATAAACATAGACATTTTAAGACCTCTCCATAAAGAGCTGATTTCTTAGCAAATGTATTTGAAACTATTAACTATAATTTCATTTTTCATTATTTCAAAGAAAATTTGGTAAAAACTTTCAGTGGTGAGGAAGTATATATTGTATCTCATCTCTAGATTTAATATATTCACACTGTTCTTCTAAGTGTTCGGGGCAATTAAAAGATTAAAAAATTAAACATAGTAGCTTAGATGTCTTCTGTCTTTATAAATACACATAAATCCTTGCCCATATGGTTTATTTATTATGACTTTTTATTTTACTAACAATATTTCAAATATATTTTAATTATCATAAATTAATAGTTTTAGATCCAAAGCAGCCAGAATATTAGCTGTAAATTAAAATGTCCCCCCCAGTTTTTTCTGAATAACGTAAGTTTAGAAAGAATTAATTAAAAAATGGCTTGGACATTCATATTTTGATGAAAACCGAATTTATTTTCACAAGTCAATCCTAACATTTGAGCTTCATGAAATTTTCCCAAAGCCATCCATAATTTGATCACTACTGTCTGATATACAAATATTTGGAAATCTTTTAAAACACATGCTCCTACTTTGAGCTTTGAGCTTACTATGAGTTCCTGGAACATTTTGAGCCAGCAAATCAAGTTACAAACACTCGTTAGCAGTCTGATCTTGCTACAACTATTCTCATGAATTACTTTTTAATAGAGTGATTTGTTCTGGTTCACTTAAGAAAAAAAAACTATCTTCCTTAAGTTTTCCTTACAGTAAAACATCTACAAATATTTATGAGTATCATATCAAAAGGCGACTTAACCTCATAGATCAGTGTGACTACTCTGAGTAGGTAAACAATGCAAACACAAAGAATGTAAGATAGAACGTTTTGAGCATAAAGCCAGTCACAGACATGATACTGAACTCTGTAATAAGTTGCCCTATAATCACAGGGTTCTCACAGGCTTTTATTTTCAAGACACGTAGAATGCATGAGAAACGAGCTATGTCTGCTATTTAGTTTTCTGAAAAGCTGCCTTCCATGTGAGGAAGTGACTAATTTTTCATTTCATACCAAAAACGGCATGAAAAGGCAAAACAGAAGAAGGCTGAGGGTTTTGTGTTATACGAAGGAAAGGTGAGTCCTTCTTAAACAGGCAGGCAACATAACATACATATTCAGAGGAAAGGACAAATTGGAAACATTTGAAAGTGCTAACAAAATGTGAAAAAATGTTTACGTTAATGTTGTGAGTTTGTTTTCTTTACATGCAGTAGGCTTATTTATTATTAAATTACTAAAACAATGCTACTTGAATTACAGCATATAATCTCAGAAATGCAAAAAGATTGTGTGAAGAAAAGATGTCAAAGAGTTAATTTAACCCTTTCCGTTGTCAAAATTTTTGCATTTGTTCTGTTATTCAACAAATATATAGTATTACCACTCCCCACCACTGTTGTCTACCTAATTCTATCTCTCTATATATGTATATATTGTTTTTTCCTATTCACTCAAATAAAATCTAATAATCCAATATTTGGGAGAGCATAAGGCAGTAAATAGAAATAATTTATAAAGCATGATGCATTTTTAGAAAAAAGAGAGGAAGTATACACTGAAATTCCATTGGTTGTAAATAAATTTGTATTCATTTTTCCCATGATCCTTTAGAAAATTTACTTTTCCTCAGACTTTTGCTAGCAGTTTGTTATAATCTAGAGTCGTTTTTTTTTTTAACAGATGGATTACAAATTGGCAGCTACTTATATTCCAGTGAGTAAAGCTACAGTACATTTCACGCACTGTATTTCTGATTGTTCTTCCTTTTTATGGGGATGTGAGTTTTCCCCAAAGCCAGAATTTATGGCTGTCTGTCTTTCTTTCTCTTAACAAATCCCAGCTGCGTGCTTTCCCATTAGGATGCAGTATACATCATGATGTTTCCCTTATTTTATTAAAATGCTTTCCCATATCATTAAAATATTTATTAAGCATTCTGTCCCTGTAAAGATCAGCATATATTCTAAAGACACATAACTGAGCACCACCTTCTCTCTGTGAACCTGCTGACAAGTCATAAGGAATCCTGGGAGGAACATTTATGCCCTTCAGTAAATCAATGCTCCAGGACACTAAATGTAACCCCTGGAATCTGAAAGGAGTCATGCACCTCTCCAAATTCCTAAACCATGCACCAAGAGCGAATGGCCCACTGGGAAAGTTCCTGTTGATAATGTGAGCTGTATCTTATGTCTTCCCTCCAATCCTACCACCAGGTAGCCAGTTCTAGAGTGGAATGATGTATCTGTTCATAAGAAAATATAGCACAATTGCATGGTCAACTCCGTGCTTAAAGGCCATGCAAGGGAAATAAAGCACCTTATTACAATGTCAAATTTGACACTTTCTTAGCTCAGTTATTTATGTAACATAATAAATTCAAAAACTCAGAGTGTAAAACATTCACAAATGTAAAGCCCCTCTTTTGAGATAATTCTGATACTTTGCAGGTAAAAGTTTAGTTCTTGGAAAATTGGTTCAGATGAATGGTTTGCCCTTGCTAATGCCATATCCACCAGATACAGTCTTATTCAGATTACTGTTCTTGTGCTTTAGCAAAACTCCATGGAAAGCTCTTAGGAGTTAATATAAGGATGAATAAAACAGAAGACAGTATTTTTGCAGGTGAAGAATTCTTTTTCTTTAAATTAAATAGAAAACTATGTAGCCACAGCTCTAGGAACCTCTTCTAGGTCTCTGTGATGTCTTCGATTTCGTTTCTTCTTCATTTCCTGCATGTGCTTCCACTTTGGGCCGCCCTTGTTTCGCTGTCTCCGCTTCTCCCTGTGCCACATCTGTTCGCAGTACTGGTCGAGGCTGAAGTTTGGGCTGCTAAGGATTTGGATATAGTCTTTGTATCTCAGCCGTGACTCAGCCAACAGATCCTTGACCCGCCCCTCCTCGTGCTCTGCCCTCTGGGTATTTTCCATCTGTTCATTCTCAATGACATTCAAAGTCAGCTTCACTATGGTGTGGATAAAAGTGTGCTCCTGTGCTTTGCAGTAATACATCCCAGAGTCCTTCTTCTGCAGACTTCGAATCAGTAGCCCGTATTCTGTTTTGATGATCCTTTCATCGGGTTTCAACTGCAGAATTGGAAAAATGTAGGCAATAAATGAGAAACAGAGAGGGCTATGAGCAAAGGCAAAGAGGCTACATAGTTTTACTTAGATGAACCTAAAAGATACAATCCCTGTCTCTCTGTCGTTAAGCATAGTATTGTCAGCCATAGTCGAAGAGAGTGACTAAACTCTCTTTCAACTAAAGTAGCAGCCCCCAAAGATGTATGGCTGCATCTTATTACATCTAACTGAGCCTTTGGAATATAGTTAGTTTTTCTCCCAGTCTACAGATAGGAATAAAAAGCTGTGAAAATTAGTGAAGTAAACCTGGAAACTACCAACTGACCATCTTTACAAAGATGCCAGATACTAATTGGTGTACTAAGAACACCAATTTGTTTCTGAATTTCAGAGCTAGAATGTGACTCTGACAGTCATTGTGTAGAAAAAGAGCTTTAGTGCACACTACTACCTGTAATGTAGAAGAGAGCAGTTATTCCAAAAGGAATTTAATGTTTGCTAGATATTTCCAAATACATGATCTGAGTAGCTTATGGAAACTGTAAGTGGTGACTTGTTAAAAGTCAAGTGGAAAGGCATGGAGGATACAGCCTTTTGGATGTCAGAGCCGTACTGAATAGGACCATACAGTCAGAAGTTTAGCAACATTTAAAGCTGAATTTCTCTTTGTACTATGGATTGAATTTTGATACTTTATGTCTATATGATACTTTAGACTATGTCATTTGTGGAAATATTTGCCATACCTCAGTATACTATAACACGGTAATGTGATCTCAAGTGTGAGAACGCTCAATGAACAAAAAGAACCTCCACTGAAATGTGACGCTCTTTGCCCTTTGAAGCAATAGTACTGAAAGACAATTCAAACATTTAAGCTTGCCTGGCCTCCAATCTGGTGTGAATAGAGAACCTATCTTCAATAAACTACAGGCATGTTTACCGACACAAGAGCCCTGTTTAATGTGGAGTATTGTTGAGTGGCTCAGCATTAAGTAGAATAACAACAAAGAAGTCTGGAAGATTTCCCAGTTTACACATCTGCCCCTGTATTGTAGACTTAGAGTTGATGGAAATCAAGGAGGCATAAAGACGGCTAAATTAAATTTATTCACAGTGGGTGGACTATACTTTGCATCTTTATGTGAAAAATATGTAGGAAAAATCCCTCCAATTCTAGAAATATGAGAAAAGGCAAAGAAACATCTCTGGCTACCAGCCCAGTTAACTAACAAGTATATGGCCAACCACCTTCTATGCCAGAGAAGTGCAGCTGGCGGGGTACCACACAAGGCCAAAGGCAGGTCACAGCTCAGATCCCTGGTTAATGAGGCTGAATGGTCTCCAGCCCTGCCCTTGCGCTACAATGAACCCACACCATCAGGGGTTTGTTTGTTTCCCTTACTTTGCCCATTTGGTGAACTGGTGTGTAGTGGATTTTTTTTTTCCTAATGGATTTATCTAAAGGCCCAGATATTTTTAAATGCTACTGTAATACAAACTAATGTTGAAGTAACTTACATTCTCAGAAACTATAGGAATCTGCTTCCAAAAATAAAAGGGAATTTGAATTGGTAGAGCTCTAAAGGATCAGTCTTAAACAATAATATCAATCTCAAATTTAACACATACTACATATCTTCCTTTAAATAATTTTATTGTAGGAATTATTGTTTTTTCATTTAAATATATCTTAGAACATGAAATTGAAACTCTGACTCCACAGCCCACGTTCTGGTCCCTATCTGCTCTGCTTCCTATGACTACTCATTTATCGTCCCCAATTGGTGTCCCATTTATCAAGTTGGTGACACAGCGTACAGTGTATTTGGGGTGTCAGAAGTAAAGCTCTTTGAAGGTTAAGTGTGAAGTATTATTAGCAACATCATAGACTGCTGCCATATTGCTGGAGAGGTGATGCTCTGAAGCCTTCACTTCTGTAGTTCTTCAATGGAAAATGGCCTGTGGTTACTAGCATGATGACCAAAGTGCATGACTTCAGTTCCGTTTCATCTCTGGATGTTCTTTCCTAGCTGGTATTCTTGCTAATGTTTAAACTGCATTTAATGTGGCTTTCAGAGACTGTCACAGCTCTGAGTCACTAGTTTTTATTGTTCTTTTAAGCTTCTGACAGGAAGGAATGATGACTCTGTGATTTCACACATATTACGCAACACTTCATCATTATTTTTGCTATTCTCTTTTTGTGTCCCATTTATGTTATTTTACTCTGAAGTCTGGCCCCCTTCCCTCCTTTCCAGTCTACTTCTGTCCCTACAGGACTCAGGGTTTCATAAACACCTGACATTTCATTACTCCATCGTGGTCCTTCACCTTTCCTTTCTTTGATGGAATGCTTACTTTTTCGTTTGGTTTTTGACCTACAGATAAAAAGTTTGCTTTAATGAATTTCTTTCTGGATTTATTAGATCAGAAAGTCTATTAGATCATTTAAGTGATTTTTTTTCTCTTCCTAAAATTTCAAAAATATGCTTTACATGAAATGCTATCTCTAATAAAACACATTTTGAATTGATGTATTTTCATAGGATTTTTGCAGTCTAGAGATAGAAATCTGTGACCCAGAAATTAAGTGGTTGATTAACATTTGCCTACTTTACATTCCCATTCTCTGTAGTGCTTTCATTCCATGCTGGAACAGGATGCATTATGCAGACTGCATCTCGACAGTGAAATGTCAGCACAGTCAATTTAGAAAATTCAGCTCCTCTACAAAGAGATAATGTAATCTCTGACCAGTGATTTAAACTCATGGAATTTTCTTCACTCTAGAAGTGATAAGTAAAAACTGCTCAGCCTTACATATCAAAACCATGCTTGAACCGGGGTCAACTATCCATTTGCTTCATATGAGCAAGGATAATATATATTTGGCATTATTCAATGTAGATCTTCAGTGAAGGGCAATTCATTTGAAGTGAAAAGAGAAACATGGTAAGGGACAAAGGACAGTGAGGTACTAAACAGCAGGTAAAGGTCAGTGACTTCCTTCTCTGATAATAGCAGCCTAATGGTAATTCCTTTGCATATAATTCACCTGTCAGGTCTTGCATAGCTAAAGCACTGCACGTGTCTTGGAAGTGACTAGGGATTCAAGAATATCTCCCTTCTTCAACAAACATAGGAGACGACTTATTTAAAAACAGTGCCGAGGCAACTGGCTCATTATTTAAAGAAAAAAAAAAATCGAATGAAGACATAACTCACTCCTAGATTAACTAATATCTTTAATTAAATGTAAATATAAAATGTAAACTGTAATTGTAAAAATAAAATCATAAAATGACTAGAAAATATATATTTGCTGTTTCATTGGGGAAGGAAATTCTAAGCACAAGTGAGAAATCATATAGATATAAATCAATAGATTTGTCTATATAAAGCATAAAACTTGTGTGTTAGGGACACACAAAAAGTTTTAGAGATAGAAAACAATAAAAAGTTACATATAATACTCATAACATTAAAATGATAATATCTATAAAGGGGTTTGTTAAAATAATTTTAAAATGAGTATATCAACATAAACCAAGCAAATGATACATAAGGCAATTTACCAATATGGTGATTTCGATGAGAAATTAGCAATATGCAGTTGTTTATCCAAAGCTGTAAGATAATTAAAGTCTTTAACTCACTTATTTTACATTTAAGAATTTGTCCTAAGAAAATAGACAAGTAGAGAAAGATTTAGCTAAAGGAAAGTTGATTGCTTTTTTAAGAGGTTACGTGAACTTAATAAAACATGGAACATCTGTGGATGACTGTGTCATCAGGATGGCAGGGATGTGGGACAGGAAACATGCTATTAAAATTGAATGGCAGGGGAAAATGCTTGTAGTGTAATGGTTCAGTAGGAAAAAAAAAAGGGTGGAATAGACATCAGAATAGTATTTGTGCTTATCTACACTTAGTGGTCTCATAGTTGTTTATTTTCAAAACCCATTTATATTGCTTTTATAATAAAAGCAACAAAAATGAAACGAAGACCTACCATTAGAAAACTACAAATATTTGAAGATGTTTTTAAAACGTTTGAAAAATCCACAGAAAAATTACTATCACAAATGGTATAAGGTACTGCCTCTTTTATTTATTCAGATCTCAGAAGTTCAACAGAAGCTTGGGGACCGATTAACGTGCTAGTTACAGCACAAACATCATCAATTTCAAGAACAGCTTTATAAGAAAGTCAGTGAATAACTGACTCATGGCCTCCCCAACAGCACCCAACTGTGACACAACTCAGTAAGGAAATGTTCTCCTGGCAGGGAGTAAGCTGGTGACAGCCTCTGTGCCACAGGAGATCCTGGGCCTTCCCTCAGGCTTTTTTTTTTTTTTTTTTTTTTTTTTTTGGGGGGGGGAAAG